AAATCATGGTATTAGGTTGCGCAGGATATATAGTTGGATCTTTTTCTGATTTATTTAGTACTGGCTGGCAGACCCGCTACGCCCGGCATTCATGAATGAGATTTTTCATTTTAAAATGAAATTGGAAGTTTGGGTGGGTGCATATTACCACTCTGAATCTTTCTTATTACCGAGATATTCTAATGGTTTTTTTTTTGCTGCCAGAAAAGGAAAGAATCAATTCTTTTTTTTTTATTACGTATATTATTTAGCTATGCTCGTCTATTCTTAAATGGCTCTAAACTTCATCAGCCACCATATGTACTAGTATGTTTGGCATACCTTGCTTGAATAATTTCTGATGCACAACTTGCAACTTAGTCCTAACATATTTGTGGAGCTTTATCACTGTCATTGACCCTATGTCCATTTTATATCGCATCCTGTTAAGCGCTTGCTGGCTGTAAAGCTAGATTATTGGCCAAAATTAAAAGTTAGTACCATTACTTGACCAAGAAAATGACGTTTATAACAACTGTATAGAGAAAGGAAGTGCAAGAAGTTCCGAGCGTTCTTCGAGGCCCCTCCCTGGTCTCAAGTAGATGAGCTTACTATTTTTTGTAATTACCCAAGTCAGCCGAATGCTCACCAACTAAAGTACTTTCAAATGATTAATAGCTTTTTCCTTCATTTTCGAATGCAGACGAAAACAATGTACATAATTTGGCTGCGCTTACAATTATCGTTGAACTATGATTCTTATTGCAAATCTATATGAGCAACTGCTCCGATTCAACGTACTTCTATTCAGAAACTATTTGTGTTTACACGATCTTGCTTGAGTAGTCTGATAACAATTGAATCTCTCATTTTTAGAATGATGCAATTTGGCCTAAAATTCGCAAATTAACGCCATCAGACGGCTAACTACTGTGTTAAGTAGCCTATGTTACCCGCCGGCGTCTAAACTATGCGTGCACTATTTGGGCCTTATCGGGAAACAAAAATTTGTATATACATATACATACATACATACATTCGTACAGGTTTTTTGCTTTATATTTAGGAGATTGCTCAATTTCTTTTTTGCAGTGATCGAAAGAGTAGGCGCTCTCGCTCTCGCGAAAAGAAGCGTGAACGTTCTCGATCGCGTGATAGGAAGAAGGAAAAGGAGAAGAAAGAGAAAAAACGGAGCAGAAGTCGTGATAGGAAAAAGGACAAGGTACGAACTC